CGCACGCATGCACGCACGCACGCACGCACGCACGCACTCACGCACTCACGCACTCACTCACTCACTCACTCACTCACTCACTCACTCACTCACTCACTCACTCACTCACTCACTCACTCACTCACTCACTCACTCACTCACTCACTACACTCACTACACTCACTCACTCACTCACTCCACTCACTCACTCCACTCACTCACTCACTCACTCACTCACTCACTCACTCACTCACTCACATTCTCATTCACTCACCTGTGCATGCGCATACATACACACATACACAATAACTCACCCACCATCACCCTTCCATCACTCTTATACTTCCTCTTCCCTTCTTGCTTTTCTATGCTCAGTCTAAGTCTAGAGAAGTTGGTAACATGTGGGGTTATCCGGTCCTATAATTTTCTTCATTTTCTGATTCTACCATCATTGGCGCGACCTTCTAAGATCTAATTACTCTTCAATGTTCTGACATCATTGATGCTGCGCTCATAGGTCTGCTGGTCTGCTTTTCAATTTTCTGACATAGTACTGCATTGCTGCGTTCCAGCATCTTCTCTTCAATTTCCGTTCGTCATCTTTGCTGCGCTCTAAGACTTAACCAACTTTCAAACATTCTTCCATCATTGATGCTACCCTCCAAGATCTTCCGGGCACTTCTCCAGCATTCTACAATTTTTTTGGCTGTGCTCCGAAGATTTCCCTTCGATTTTTGAACATTCTACCATCATTGATGCTTCGCTCTAAGATTTTCTCTTCAATTTCAGTACATTCTACGATCAGTGATCGTATGCTCCAAGGTGTTCTCTTCAATTTTGGAGCATCAGTGATGCTATGCGCTAAGATCTTTTTCCCCAACAGCGTAAGCTAATAGGGTCTTCAGCCCAGAATAGCTCCGGTGTGGACTGCGTTCAACGAGGTTCCGGAGAAGGTTCCGAAGGTTCCGAAGAAGGTCTGGGAGGCTTTGGTGCAGAGCGGTCAGGTTCAACAGGGTTCCGGAGTTCCGGAGAAGGTCTGGGGGGCTTTGGTGCAGAGCCAGGTCAGGTTTAACAGGGTTCCGAAGAAGGTTCCGGAGAAGGTCTGGGAGGCTTTGGTGCAGAGCCAGGTCAGGTTCAACAGGGTGTAGAGCCAGGTCAGGTTCAACAGGGTTCCGGAGAAGGTTCCGGTGAAGGTCTGGGAGGCTTTGGTGCAGAGCCAGGTCCGGCTCACCAGGGTTCCGGAGAAGTTTCCGGAGAAGGTTCCGGGAGGCTTTGGTGCAGATCCAGGTCAGGTTCAATAGGGTTCCGGTGAAGGTTCCGGTGAACGTTTGGGAGGCTTTGGTGCAAAGCCAAGTCAGGTTCAACGGGTTCCGGAGAAGGTTGCGGTAAAGGCGGTTTTGGGAATCTTTGGTGCAGGGCCGGGTCAGGTGCAATAGGTTCAGCAGAGGGTTTACAGCGCTTGGCTTCGCAGCACGCTTCAGAAAGACTTGTAAAAATAAAACGTCGCGGCTGTTGGGGATACCATCGAAGCTTATTCTTTATTCTTCAGTAGTCCACCATCTTTGATGCTACGCTTCAAGATCTTCTCTTCAACTTACAAGTTCTACGGTCATTCATGCTTTGCTCCAAGGTCTTCTCTCCAATGTTCAAACATCGTCGCTGCTACGCTATATGATTTGTTTTCAATTTTCTAACATCACTGATGTTACGTTACCAGATCTTTTTGTCAGTTTTTCTTACATTCTACCATCATGGATGATACGCTATAAGAACTTTTCTTCAATTGTCAAACCTTCATTATTGCTGCGCTCTAAGATCTTCTCTTCAATTTTCTAACATCACTGATGCTACGCTCTGAGATCCAACCAACTTGCAAGCATTCAGCCATCATTGATGCTACGCACCAAGATCTTCTCTTCAAAATTCCAACATTCTACCATCATTGATGCTACCCTCTAAGTTTTTCTCTTCAATTTTCCAACATCAATTGATGCTACAATTTAAGATCTTCTCTTGGAAACACGCTGAACACAGTAGATGCACCCTGGACATAAGTAGGTTGATCCCCAAAAGTAACTCCGCTGGAACAACCAAACTTACCTCCTCTTGGTAGTTTTGAATAGCTCTTCGTAGTTTTGAATCAATCGGCCCCCGGGCCCGGGGGCCATTTCTTCACATCCAAACTGATGGGAAATGCTGGACCCCGAAGGGAATGTGGCGTCACAATGAGGCGGCAGGAGAGGAAAGTGGCGTCAGGGAATGTGTCGTCAGAATGTGGCATCAGAGGGGAATGTGCGCCAGGGAATGCTCAGAATGTGGCCTCAGGGGGGAATGTGGCCTTAGGGAATGTGTTGTCAGAATGTGGCGTCAGGACAGGAGGGAATGTGGAGTCAGGGGGGATGTGGCGTCAGGGAATGTGTCATCAGAATGTAGCGTCAGGAGGGAATGTGGCGTCAGAGTGGAATGTGGCAGGGAATGTGTTGTCACAATGTGGCGTCAGGGAGGAATGTTGCGTCTGGGGGGAATGCGGTGTCAGGCAATGCGGCGTCAGGGCATTTGGGAATGTGGCGTCACAATGTGTCGTCAGCGTCAGGCACTAAAGTGCTACACCATCTGCGGGTACCCTGTGAACGTGGACTCAGATTTTGTTTCCTTGTCACCGTCGTCATTCTGCGAAAAAACTGCCCGAAGTCAGAACTCCAGAGAGTCCGCCACCGTTTGCATCACACATGCCAAAGGACTCGTTAGCTGCAAAGGCCCTAGCCTCACACGGCTCTGACCAGGTTCCGTGAGTGATACATTCGGGTGTGATTTTAGGAGCGGCTTGGATCCTGTGAGAACTATTGAGAAGGGGATTCTCATACTTATTTTACACGTCCCACAGCAGAGTTGGGAAGCTTCAGGATTCATGCAGGAGCAACACCATCTACGGGGTTGCTTGATTTGTTTGCCATCTTGGGTCTTGTGACAATCAAGAGGTTGCCTTGGACCCATTCTCAGCATGTTTGAAACAGATGGAATGAATTTGTTTGCAGCCTTCTTTCGTTTTTGGTGAAGGCTATGTTCCAAGCATAGCTGTACAATTTTCTTGCGTGCTTTCTTTTTTTGAATGCTTCCAACCACAGGCACTCTCGGTTGCATACCGTTCCTGCATGATATTTGTGTTAAGTGGCTGCAATTTGCTGCTTGTCACATTCATTTTCGAGTTCTGCTCACCTCTCAAACTGTTTCGGCACAGGCGGAGGATTTGCTTGCTGCTGAAGCTCTGCAGAGAGCAGCCAGAGCAGCAGCGTCATCGCCTCCTACGACTGGAGATGAGGAGAGCAGCAGCAGCATGGTGTCTTTGTGGGCTGGGAAGAATGCAGTAGTAATTGCCCAAGGCTTCATCTTTTGGCTTTGAGCCTGTCTCATGTGATGCTATGGGTGACATTTGCTAGGAGTCACAGATGCACGGTCTTTGCAAAGTTGCATTGTTTTGGTTTTGTGAGAGGCTGAGAGAAAAGGCATACTTCAAACACCTTTCTCTGCATAAGTTCTAATGAAAGTGGACTCAGATTTTGCTTCCTTGTCACCGTCGTCATTCTACGAAAAAACTGCCCGAAGTCAGAACTCCAGAGAGTCCGCCACCGTTTGCATCACACATGCCAAAGGACTCGTTAGCTGCAAAGGCCCTAGCCTCTGAGCAGGTTCCGTGAGTGATGCATTCGGGTTGCGGAGTTTGATGGGCTGGTAGCTACCCAAAGTTAAAGAAACAACGGCAGCAGCCGGCAGCAGAAATCCTTTTAATGCTAAGTGCAAAAGCTGACGTGGCCACGTCTTGAGCCATGACCAAGCGAGCAGCACAGTCAAGCATGTACACATGCAACATGCACTACAACCCAATCCATCCAAGGAAGGTATAGTGTTGACTGTGCGTCGAATTCAAAAGTTGCGCGTTGGTAACTGAGATCGACTGGACGCAGCCAGGATAGATCTGCCGGATGCAGCCAGACTTGTGGTCTCGAGTCCCTTCATGTGGTCCTTGGGGCGCTGCCGCTGAGCTTTTCGTAGACCGCGACGCCTTTCTTCCTTCTTTGCTTCCTCTGCAGTTTCCTTGAGGCTGATACGTCCACTTTTCATGAACTTAACCCAGAGCACCGGCACCATCATCTTTGTGGGGATGTCAGCAAATTGCTGATACGTAGGGCACCACCTCTTCATCATCATAATCCAAAGCCATGAGGACCGTCTTGAGAGCCAACTTGTATTCTGCCTTGCTCGGTGGCTTGTTGGCGGCAAGGCCGGAGGCGCCTCGTCATCTGAGATCGAAGCCATGGAGTTGTCTTCCTCGTCAGAGTAGCTCCCAAGGGCTATGGTCGTTGACAACCATCATGGCCCAATTGACTCGAATGACCTTGGTGTCGGGCTTCGGCTCCGTCTTGGTGACCTTGGCGGGCGGCTCTTCTACCTTCACCGGCAGGCTTGAGTTTGTCGGGGACGTAGGTTCCTTCTGGCCTGGATTCCGGGGCGATGAGAAACTTTGTGAAGTTGGGAAGAGAAGGAGGACCTGACTTGAAGGTCACATTCACCTTACTGACGCCACCGGCTCCTTGATGTCGTGGGTGCAGGGCATCCTCTCCGGCAACAACCTTTCGGGTATTCAGGGTCACCCTTCCAATGTCCTTGATTGCCGCAGCTGGAACAGACCGATTGTTTCGTGCGGTCATCCACCTGACGGCGGTCAGGGCCTCGAACTCGACTCTTTCCAGACCCTTTTGATCTGTAGCCCCGAGACTGCTTGTTGCCCGATGCTTGGGCTTTGGTGCGCCATCCTGCAGCGTATTCCTCGGAGAGGTCCTGCGTCGTGGCGGATGGGACATCCTCTTCATCATCATCTTCATCATAGCCCCAGCGGGGCCGGAGGGAACCCTGGAGATGATGGGGACGATGACGATGATGATGGACTCAGCTCTTCAAGCTACACGTATGAAAGTGAAGAGGAAGAGGAGGAAGAGCAGAGAGAAGAAGATCCTCCTGAGGAGCCTCTTCCAGAACGACGGCCTGAGCAGGAGCCGAAGTCCCCATCCAGGTCCGCGCCGGACACAGGGCAATGCTCCATCGGTTGAATCCTCTGTCGTAGCCACTGACGAGCTGCAAGACATGCTGAGGAGGAAGGCCGCAGCTGGCGATCGGTCCAAGCCGGCCCTTCACCAAGTGAAGCTTGAAACCTTCACTGGCCAACGAGGAGCATACAAAGATTGGAAACGTGTGCTTACAGCCCAACGCAACCTCTACCAGCTCCAGGACAAGGAATTGTCCATGCTCGTCTACTTGAGTTGCAAGAGCGATGCAGGACAGATCCTAAATCAACTGGAAATGGATGAAATGACTGCTGAAGGTGGGTTGCAGCGGATGCTCTCGCTGCTGGAAGAAGCATAGGTTTGACGAACGGCAAGAGGCATACCTTCAGTTCAGGAGAGCACCAGGAATGCTAATGTCTCAGTACATTGCGTCCCTCAAACGCCTGAGGCAAGAATACCTTCGAGAGGACGCTCAAACAGAATTCTCCGATAAGGCCTTCGCACAACGCCTTCTATCCCGAGCCGGTCTCACAAAGAAGGCACGTATGGATTGCTTCTTCTCGGCCGGAGGAAAGTACAAGGCCAAGGACATCGAGCGATTGCTTCGATTCCGTTGTGCCAAGGTCCATGAGGAGGAATCTCGGCGGCCGGCAGCGCCCCGTGCCAATGAGGAATCCTCAGCAAGCCGAAGCTCCGGCTACAAGAGATCCAATAGGTCTGGTCGCTACCAGTACCGCGGCTCCACCAGATACGGGCGTCAGGTCTATCATGCCGATGATAGTCAGGCCTTTGATGATGATGACCAAGAAACTGGTGATGCCGATGACGAGGACTTGGAGGAAGAGATGGCTTCAGGCCGCATCAACGATGAGGACGACTACCAGGACTCTTGGCAAGATGACTATGGTGGTTACGGCCAGGACTCCTACTGGCAGGCGGATGGTGACTGGTGCGACCAGGGGCAGGATTTGGCGACCTCTTTGATGCCGGTGCGTTTGCCTTTGCTGCCGGGGCGCCGCCAGGAACACTCGGTTGTGAGGCTCCGGATGCAGCTGTTGGTGCTGTCAAACCAGGTTCATTCCCTCTGTGTGTGTCCGGCAGGTAATGTGTGATACCAGTTGTATCCATCAGTCCAATACCATCCCATTGACATAGAAGATGTCATTGGATGTGACATGGGACTGGCGCAGCGGGACCCTTGCCATACATGCCAGATTGAGCCATCATCGGATTAACCATGTTCCATGGGGAGGCCGTGGAGCCTGTGCCAGGATCACTTGCAGGGCGTGAGCCAGACCCTTTTCCCTTTTCATTGGGGCGGAGCTGCATCTCTCGGCTGTGGCAGGCGCCGAGGCTCTCGCTTTGTGGCTGGTGCCTTGGCAGCTGCAGGGGGCGGCGCGTCCCTCGCTGCTCGATCCTTTTCCTATTGTTCTTTTCCTGGCGTGTCATCCCTTGAGGAGTCTCAGGTACAGGCACCTCTTCTGCCCTCGGTGGTCGGACTGTCGGAGTCGCAGCCTCTGTCCCGAGAGTCGGGGGCGCAGCCCTTCCTTCCCCCGGTGCAGCCGAGCTTGAGGCATCCCCGGATGCCATGAGCCCGAAGGCTCCGCTACCAATGCGGAGTTTGATGGGCTAGTAGCTATATCCAAAGTCCAAGAAACAACGGCAGCAGCCGGCAGCAGAAATCTTTTTAATGCTAAGTGCAAAATCTGACGTGGCCACGTCTTGAGCCATGACCAAGCGAGCAGCACAGTCAAGCATGCACATGCAAGATGCACTACAACCCACCAATCCTAGGCTTTCACACGGGTGTGATTTTAGGAGCGGCTTGGATCCTGTGAGAGCTACTGAGAAGGGGAGCATTATACTTATTATACAAGTCCCCCAGCAGAGTGGCAAACTTCAGGATTCATTCAGGAGCAACGCCATCTACGGGGTTGTTTGATTTGCTTGCCATCTTGGGTCTTGTGATAATCGCGAAGTCACCTTGGACCCACCCTGAGCATGCTTGAAGCAGATGGAATGAATTTGTTTGCAGCATGTTTTCGTGTTTGGTGAAGGCTATGTCTATGTTCCAAGCATAGCTGTACAATTGTTTTGCGTTTTTTTTTTGAATGCTTCCAACCACAGGCACTCTCGGTTCCATACCGTTCCTGCATGATATTTGTGTTAAGTGGCTGCAATTTGCTGCTTGTCACATTCATTTTCGAGTTCTGCTCACCTCTCAAACTGTTTCGGCACAGGCAGAGGATTTGCTTGCTGCTGAAGCTCTGCAGAGAGCAGCCAGAGCAGCAGCGTCATCGCCTCCTACGACTGGAGATGAGGAGAGCAGCAACAGCATGGTGTCTTTGTGGGCTGAGAAGAATGCATTAGTAAATGCCAAGTTGCGGCGTTCTGATGTGTGAATAGTCTGCACAGAACCACATGCTCTTGTGGTCAAGTGATTCGCTTTACATGATTTTGGGAAAACCAAACTTCAGACATCTTTCTGTAAATAAGGTCAGCCAGTGAATGAAAGTGGACTTAGATTTTGATTCCTTGTCACTGTTGTTAACAAGGTATAATTTGGTCAAAAGTTCACCATTGGAGCAAAGAACGGAGCGATTTGAGGAGTGCACCATTCAAACGAGGGCAGAATTCGCACTCATACTTGTACCCGATGTTCAAATAATATTGCCTGTTTATGCCATAGAATAAGGTTGTGAAGGTATCTGCAGAGTTCTTGGCTTCTTCCTTGCTGTTAAGTAGGCAGAGCTTGCAAGAGCTTGAATAACGCGATGTGAAGGACATTTTGGCTGCAAAGGCACTAGCCTCATATGTTTCAGAGCAGGTCGCTCTGGGTCTGCAGAACAATTGATTTTTTCGAGGCGTATATACAGTATTAGGGGTGAGCAAAAATGAAGAATAGTGAAGCTTCAATTTCTTCATAAGAGCTTCAATGTCAAATCCTAAGATTCTGCACTTGTGCGATTGAAAGCGCTCCGACGGTGGGGCCGGGGGGAGTTGTTTTCTGATCTCTCCAGGTACAGGAAAACCAGAGAAGCTCAGCAGGCCCCAAGATCACGCATGTACCATGTAAGGCTATGTAAAGCTCCAATTGCAGGACTGCCAAAGGCCAAAGGCTTGCAAAATGCATGTCATAGGCATATTCTAGACTTGCAGGATAGTGTATATCAGGCCAGATCGGACGTTGTCATTGTAGGAAGGGGTCCGAGTATCGCAACAGTCATGAGTCAGCAGACATGGCCGATTGATGGATCGGAGACGAGTTTGCAGACCCCGATTCTGGTAATTTTAAGTATGTGTTGGTCTGAAGCGGACAAAGCATAAGACACCAAAAACGCTGGAAACAGAGCTTTTCCAAAATTGAGTCTCAAGAAAGCACAGGACCCACGACTGTGGAAACAACTTTCAGTCATCACTTCATCCACTTCCAGCCGGTGGAGTGGATTTCTTTGTGACGGACAGTGCGCCCTCTTTCTTTTCCAAGCCTTCAAACAAATCCTTGGCCTTTACATTGATTTACATTGATTTGGTGGTTTCAAATAGTATTGCGGGATTTTATCTTTTCAACTTATTTGGCTTTGGGGTGGGCTGCTGTCCAATATCTAAAATGACTTGGGAGGTGGAGGGTTTCTACAGTGTGAAAGCGGTGCAGAATTTCATTCACCGTCCGTATCAACAAATCAACAACAGTCCGTGCAAATTAGCGGGTGGGCTTTGTACTTGCACCTTTTCTGGGTCTTGCGCGGTTTCTTCTACTTCTCAGTGTCGGTATATAGAGCGTTTCTTGTCTGCAAAGCAAATGCTTTGACGGGTCTCCGACCATGGACATGACATGGGAATGGTAAGGAATCCAGAAACTTTAAACGCATAAATGATTATTCTAACTATTCTAAAACTATGCTTGATGGAGCTATCTAGAGATGATATGGCGCAAGTAGGAACCACAATCAGATTCTATTAGCTCCAGAAAGCCTACTTGGCGTTCGAGTGGGAAGGTGGCAGCAAGTGAGGTGTTCTACACCACAGACTTGCAGCATCGCATTCTCATTCCTCTCTGGCTTGATTTGACAGCATGAAGAGAACTTTGCTTGAATATTTGCATCATTTGCATCTGTAATTCCTACTTAAATTCGGTGCAGAACTTTGTACATCCAAAGTCGAGTCGTCTTGATGGAGTCAAACACCTGAGAAACAATGCAGTATACTGTAAACATTAACCATTATGACATTTGCTGAAGTTTGTCTAACACAGCTTACCTTCATTTTCCTTTCAGAAGCCTATTTTTTTTCGGCCATTCAAGTCCAAAGTTTGCACAAAACATGTGCCTTTTTCCGGAAGAGGAACATCAGGGCAAGCTGCAAAAAGAAGCCGATGAAAGACCTGAATGCTCTTGCAGTCATGCTTGTTGGAGGTCCTCCTCCAGAACCAAAAAAAGCCGTGACTGCACCAGCAGAAGCAGGCAGACCGAAGCTCAGGTTCAGGTGCAGCAATAAAGACATTGCCTGAGAATGACTCCATGCATGTGCAAGGTCCTCTAGCTGAACCTAAGCGAGCTGATGTGAGCGCACCAGCACAAGCACCAGGCAGTGAGTCCTGTGCAAATTCTGGCAAATTGCAGCAGAATATATATGTATATAATGTATATCTAGAGGGTCTAGAATCAATATATAAAACCGGAGCTAAACGATTGGCTCTTGTGCACTTTCTACTTCTTGGTCTTCACACAAGCAGGGCTGGCCAGACAGACAGGCAAAAAGAGATGTCTGCAGATCACGATTCAGGTATAGCAATGGAGACAGTGCCTGAACATGATTCCATACATGCGCAAGGCCCTCTTGCTGAACCTAAGCGGGCTGATGTGAGCGCACCAGCACAAGCACCAGGCAGAAGCTCCTTTTCAAATTCTGGCAAATTGCAGCAGAAGATATTTTAGAGCTGACGCTCATCGTCGGCTCCGCCGGATTACTTGACCCTCGATGTCATCACAGGGTGGGCTTGAAAGCTATTGAATGAGGACCTGCTGCTTCAGAAATATATTTCTTGTGCTTTTTTGAACATATTCATGGAATCATGGAACTGCAGTTTTTTCTTGGAGCAAGTGGGGAAGGCTTGTTCCCGAAAGCTCCTGTGAAGGGTTTTTCCTAAAGAATTGCTGCCAATTTGAATTTTCCACTTCGTGTAAAAGCGCCTCTGAATGCAAAGACTTCTCTGTGTAAACGCTTCTGTGTGTAAAAGCTTCCGCGTGTAACAGCTTCTCGGTGTAAAGACTTCTCTGTGTAAAAGCTTTTGTAAAAGCTTCTGCGTGTGAAAGCTTCTCTGTGTAAAGATTTCTCTGTGTAAAACCTTCTGTGTGTAAACACGCCTGTGTGTAAAAGCTTCTCGGTGTAAAGGCTTCTCTGTGTAAAAACTTCTGTGAGAAAACGCCCTTGTGTGTAAAAGCTCCTCTGTGTAAAGGTTTCTGTGTGAACTAGACGACGGTTGGCCCGAGAGCGAAAAAGATGTTTTTCAAGCAGCTCTGAGGATGGTAGTCGTAAAAGATAGTCGGTGAATGTTTGGTGAATTTTTTATGAGCTATGGAGGGATAAGGTGTGAAAAGTAAGATTGATTAAGAAGAGGATATTTGGTAAAGGGCATCAGATGACACGTGTCTTGCAACCACAGAGAGACATAGATAGAGAGAGAGAGAGAGGGAGACGGAGAGAGAGAAAGAGGGAGAGGGTGAGAGAGAGAGAGAGAGAGAGAGAGAGGGAGAGAGAGAGAGAGAGAGAGAGAGAAGGGAAGGGAAGGGAAGGGAAGGGAAGGGAAGGGAAGGGAGATAGAAAGAAAACATGGAGAAATATAATGTGAGCAACAAAAGTGCACAGGAGGCTCGGTACCATGATGCAGCGAATTACATGTGTTATCTCATTTTACTATGGTAATTCCTACACACATTGCCGAAAAAGCTCGGTACCATCATTCCTCGGATGTGAAGAAACGCGACGCTTTTATACAGAGACGCTTTTACACACAGAAGCTTTTACACACAGACGCTTTTACACACAGCAGCTTTTATACACAGAGACTTTTACACACAGACGCTTTTACACACAGACACTTTTACACACAGACCCCTTTACACACAGACGCTTTTACACACCGACACTTTTACACACAGACCATTTTACACACAGACACTTTTATTTAAACACAGAAGCTTTTACACACAGACGCTTTTTGAACACAGACGCTTTTACACACAGACGCTTTTACACACAGACTCCTTTACACACAGACGCTTTTACACACAGACACTTTTACACACAGACTCCTCTACACACAGACGCTTTTACACACAGACACTTTTACACACAGACCATTTTACACACAGACACTTTTACGCGCCCAGTAAATCTCCCACAGTCTCCAGATTTTAAAAAAATGCATGCAGGACCATATCCACAGAAGAAAGATGTCGACAGCATTGCTTTAAATGCATATCTGTATCAGCTTGAGGCTTCGACCAACCGATTCGCTTCAACATCGAGTTGAAGACCGCTCGCACAGAGAACGTGCTTGCAAAAACTCCATACTTGAATCCCACGGGACTGTATGATCCAACTAAAGACAAATCAATCCTCGCAGTCACATACCACACAGAAAACATAAATCAATTTTCAATCCAACCATTGCATGTCTCAATCGCAGACTTTTACACACAGACGCTTTTGCACACAGACGCTTTTACACACAGACGCTTTTACACACAGACTCCTTTACACACAGACGCTTTTTTTACACACAGACACTTTTACACACAGACTCCTTTACACACAGACTCCTTTACACACACAGACGCTTTTACACACAGACACTTTTACACACAGACGCTTTTACACACAGAAGCTTTTACACACAGAGGCTTTTACACACAGACTCCTTTACACACAGACGCTTTTACACAGACTCCTTTACACACAGACGCTTTTACACACAGACACTTTTACACACAGACCATTTTACACAGACACTTTTACACACAGAAGCTTTAAACACAGAAGCTTTTACACACAGAAGCTTTTACACACAGACGCTTTTTGAACACAGACGCTTTTACACACAGACGCTTTTACACACAGACTCCTTTACACACAAACGCTTTTACACACAGACACTTTTACACACAGACTCCTTTACACACAGACGCTTTTACACACAGACACTTTTACACACAGACTCCTTTACACACAGGCGCTTTTACACAGAGACACTTTTACACACAGACCATTTTACACACAGACACTTTTACACACAGAAGCTTTTACACACAGAAGCTTTTACACACAGAAGCTTTTACACACAGACGCTTTTACACACAGACTCCTTTACACACAGACGCTTTTACACACAGACTCCTTTACACACAGATGCTTTTACACACAGACACTTTTACACACAGACCATTTTACACACAGACACTTTTACACACAGAAGCTTTTAAGCACAGAAGCTTTTACACACAGAAGCTTTTACAAACAGACGCTTTTGTACACAGACGCTCTTACACAAAGACGCTTTTACACACAGGCTCCTTTACACACAGACACTTTTACACACAGACACTTTTACACAGAGACTCCTTTACACACAGACGCTTTTACACACAGACAACACACAGACCATTTTACACACAGACGCTTTTACACAGAAGCTTTTAAACACAGAAGCTTTACACACAGAAGCTTTTACACACAGACTCCTTTACACACAGACGCTTTTACAGACAGACACTTTTGCACACAGACTCCTTTACACAGGTGCTTTTACACACAGACACTTTTACACACAGACCATTTTACACACAGACACTTTTACACACAGAAGCTTTTAAACACAGAAGCTTTTACACACAGAAGCTTTTACACACGGAGGCTTTTACACACAGACTCCTTTACACACAGACGCTTTTACACATATACTCCTTTACACACAGACGCTTTTACACACAGACACTTTTACACACAGACCATTTTACACACAGACACTTTTACACACAGAGGCTTTTACACACAGAAGCTTTTACACACAGAAGCTTTAACACACAGAAGCTTTTACACACAGACGCTTTTGCACACAGACACTTTTACACACAGACGCTTTTACACACAGACTCCTTTACACACAACCGCTTTTACACACAGACACTTTTAGACACAGACTCCTTTACACACAGACGCTTTTACACACAGACACTTTTACACACAGACTCCTTTACACACAGACGCTTTTACACACAGACTCCTTTACACACAAATGCTTTTACACACAGACACTTTTACACAAAGACGCTTTTACACACAGACTCCTTTACACACAGACGCTTTTACATACAGACCCTTTAACACACAGACCCTTTTACACACAGAGGCTTTTACACACAGAAGCTTTTACACACAGAAACTTTTACACACAGAAGCTTTTACACACAGAAGCTTTCACACACAGACCCTTTTACACACAGACCCTTATATATAGAGACCGGACCCGTGAAATCGCAATTTTACTTCAGTTTTTGACGTTCAACTTCCTTTTCGTGCGAAATGGTCGCGATGGACAAAGTAAAATCGCAATTTTTCTTCAGTTTTTGACGTCGAACCTCCATTTCGTGCGAAAGGGTTGCCCGTGACACCTCAAAATCGCAATTTTACCCCAGTTTTTGACGTCCAACGTCCATTGCGTGCGAAAGGGTTGCGATGGACTAACTAAAATCGCAATTTTACCGCAGTTTTTGACGTCCAACGTCCATTTCGTGCGAAAGGGTTGCGATGGGCCAAGTTAAATCGCAATTTTACCCCAGTTTTTGACGTCCAACGTCCATTTCGTGCGAAAGGGTTGCGATGGGCCAAGTTAAATCACAATTTTACCCCAGTTTTTGACGTCCAACGTCCATTTCGTGCGAAAGGGTTGCGTTTCGTGGCGCTCCGGCGGCACCGCCCCCGCCTTAAGAGAGAGATAGAAAGAAGAGCGAGAGGAGATCTGCAGATGTGAAGGTGTGAAGATGTAGATCTGCAGATGTGAGGGTGTGAAGATGTAGATCTGCAGGTGTGAGGGTGTGAAGATGTAGATCAGCAGATGTGAGGGTGTGAAGATCTAGATCTGCAGATGTGAGGGTGTGAAGATGTAGATCTGCAGGTGTGAAGGTGTGAAGATGTAGATCAGCAGGTGTGAGGGTGTGAAGATGTAGATCTGAGGTGTGAGGGTGTGAAGATGTAGATCTGCAGATGTGAGGGTGTGAAGATCTAGATCTGCAGATGTGAGGGTGTGAAGATGTAGATCTGCAGGTGTGAAGGTGTGAAGATGTAGATCAGCAGGTGTGAGGGTGTGAAGATGTAGATCTGAGGTGTGAGGGTGTGAAGATGTAGATCTGCAGATGTGAGGGTGTGAAGATGTAGATCTGCAGATGTGGGGGTGTGAAGATGTAGATCAGCAAATGTGAAGGTGTGAAGATGTAGATCAGCAGATGTGAGGGTGTGAAGATGTATTACAACGGCTGCTTTTTCACGAAGAACCCTTCGCAGGCGCTCTCGGGAAAAAAACACCCATCCTACAACATCGCACCATGTGACGCACATTCAACTTCGATCAAAAATACAAGTTTGGTTAAAACCCATTTTTGACGCACCCAACCTCCCTTGATGACGCCAAGACTTTCATCAACGCGTCGCGCAGCTCTGCTACAGTGAGCCATTTGTTGTTGGGTCGTGTCTCCACACCACCCGCAGCAGCCAGGGCCCGAAGCTCATCTCTTGATATTTCCGACAGAGCACTACGGAGCCACTCAATACCTTGTGAAACAGCTCCTACGCGAAGTTCTTCCAATTTGGCAGCCGATCCAACTTCCTGATC